GCTGTGCGCCACGGATCTTCCGTCCTCGGATGACGGTATAATTGTCTCGTCAGTCAGGTAGGCAGGAAATGATAACCTTGGCATATCATCTCATCAAGTCGAAGTGTTGGTTATGTATTGGTTTCGTTCATTTTATGAGTAGGGGATTATAAAGGGGCTAGGATTATATGTTGGATTTCGCGTTTGGTCGAGGCCGTCCTAGTCGACCGACGCTCGTTCGTACCGAGGAGATCAGCGCCCTCGGGAACGAACAACGTTCGGGGCCACTTGGCGTTAGCCAAGCGTACCTATACTCCAGCGAGCGAGCAAACGCCCTCGGCTGACCTACCTCTGCAATTGCATGTGAAAGCTTTCGCACGTGGGTCAGTAGCTCGGTAGGGATACACCCCTGAGGGTGGTGACAGCCCCTCAGGGAAGATAAGTTGTGCCCCGCGAAAACCTATCCTGTCGTAGGGGACCGCGGGATGTATAGCTGGCGCACCCGGTTAGAGCGGCGAAGGGACAATGCGACCACGTCCGTCTCGACGGTTTGCGGGATTATTTCTGCATCGTCCTAAGTTGTCTCTCGATTATGTTTTTCTAACTCCTGCGTGACATAGCAGGGAGGGCCCTCGTTCACGCGAGGGCCGATGCGCTCTACAACGCAATGGGAAAAAATGAAGACAAAATTCAACACACAGGCGGATTGGTTAAATGATGGGTTAAGGATAATATCCAACGGACTGAATGTTCTATCCACAATTAAATCACTTCAAAACAAGAAAGAGGAGGATAAATATACTAACCTAATTAAAAAAGCGGAGCAGAACATGCAAGGTCACCCAATGTCAGTAACCTAATGGGGAATGAAGAGGGCGGAATACATGACTCAACTCGACGACATCCAATGCAAAAAAGAGGAGCAATAAGCAAAATGGGCAAAAACTAAAACGTTGATAACAACTGATAGACCAACCAAGGAACAATTTCAAAGACCCCTCCCCCGAAAGAACAATACACCTATGAAAGAACTAAATCACCCATTTTGCAGAACGACTCAGCCCTCGACGGACCTCAATACCATATGTGAATATGCTAGAATTTATTTCCAAGACATCCATACCTCTAGAAGACCCCCACTAGAATTTCTTACCATTTTGGGAAGCTACTAGGGTAAGACTATCAACCACAACTCTCTTGGATTTAGACAAACCAGTAACTCTAGAGGAGCTCACACATGCGAGGAAACAGATGGTGATGGGAAAAGCCCCGGGGAATAATGGCCTGCCAGTGGAATTTTGCTCCACCTTTTGGCCAGCCTCTAGGACCACCCTTGTTAAATTTTACAACTCAATCCTATCAGGAGGGAAACTGGCTAAGGGTATGACACATGGCATCATCTCACTGTTATATAAAAGAGGGGAAAAAACAAATAACCAAAACTGGCGCCCCGTTTCTTTGTTAAATGTGTCCTACAAACTCCTAGCCAAGACGCTAGCAATCAGGCTAGGGAGATACCTCTCTAGCCTAGCGGGCCCGGAACAAGGCGCATTTGTTCAAGGCCACTCCATCTACGACAACAATAGTGGCGGTCATAGAAACCCTAGAAATAATTAGCGAATAAAACCTAAACTATGCATTTTTGCTCCTATACCTTGAGAATGCCTACGACAAGGTAGGTTGGTCCTTTGTACTAACCACTCTACAACATATGAACTTCGGACGCAACTACATAAACTGGGTAATCAATCTCTATGCCTTCTCAAGTGCATCAGTAATAATTAATGGGAAAATATCCACACCCTTCAACTTAACCAGATCACTACGACAAGGGTGTCCATTAGCGCCCCTTTTATTTATATTACAAATGGAAATCCCTCTGAATAATATTAAAATGAACAATAAAATCAAAGGTCTACCTACCTCAGACAGACAATGCAAAGGAGGCGCATTGGCTGATAACCTACTTGCGATATGTAAGAACTTAGGACAAGACCTAAACGAACTTAGACAATGCTCACTAACTTATTCCAAGGCGTCGGAGACATTCATTAACTGGACCAAATCGGTATACATTCTATTACCTTCCTATGAGCTTGCAGTTTCGTGGGGTATGAAGCGCACCCCTACAGACACCTCGGAGCGGTTCCGTGGAGTGCATGTCTCAACCAAGAGAACCACCCAGTTTAGACGTCGTTCTTATAGAAAGAGTTACAACATGTATGAACAGATGGTGCCATACCCTGTCACTTTCATTGATAGGAAGGGCTCTCATCCTCACCACACTAGCATTCTCCCTGTTGTGGTACGCTCATACGGTGAGAGGGTTGAGCAAGGGAGCCTACAAGCAACTGAGAAAAAGAGTGGTGCACTTCGTC